GAGAGGAAGAAATGAACAAAGAATCTACAAAACAAGAAAACAATTTTAAAATGGCAAAATAAGTCCTTACCTATCAGTAATAACCTTGATTGTAAATGAATTATCCAATAAACAGAGTGATTGAATAGATTAAAAAACAATATAACTACGGGCTGCCTAAAAGAGACGCACTTCAGCTTCCAGAACACACAAAAGTTGAAAGTGTAAGAATGGAAAAATATATTCCATACAAATAGTAACCAAAAGAGAGCAAGTATGGCATAATATACAATAGATAAAAGAAACTTCAAGGTAAAAACTGTTACAAAAACAAAGATGGTCATTAATGATAAAGTGGCCAATTCATCAAGATGACATAAGAATTATATATGCACCCAACAACAGAGCACCTAAATAGATATAGAAAGTATTGGCCAGGCACGAAGGCTCATTCCTGTAATCTCAACACTTTGGGAGGCCGAGGCGGACAGATCACCTGAGGTGAGTTCAAGACCAGCCTGACCAACATGGCAAAACCCCATCTCTACTAAAAACAAAAATTAGCTGGGTGTGGTGGTGGGCACCTGTAACTACTCAGGAGGCTAAGACAGGAGAATCTCTTAAACCCGGGAGGTGGAGGTTGCAGTGAGCTGAGATCACACCATTGCACTCCAGCCTGGGCAACAGTGAGACTCCATCTCAAAATAATTTAATGTATGTGAAGAAAAAAAATACATAGCAATAATATAATATTCAGTGATCTTAATACCGCACATTAAACACTGAATAGCTCAACTAAACGGAAAATTAAGCAAATACTGGATTTGAACTGCATTCTACACCAAATGAACCTAACAGACATGGAACTTACAATCCAAGAGCAGCAGAGTATACATTTCTTTTCTAGTGCACATACCACATTATGCCTCAAAAAGCTAGAAAAAGAACTAAAGCCAAAGTTAGCAAAAGGAGAAAAATAATACACATCAGTAAAATAGAGAACAGAAACACAGAAAAAATAAAAGCCAAAAAGTAATCTTTGAAAAAATAAGATCAGCAAAACACTAGCTAGACTATGACACACAGAGGGAAGACTCAAATAAATAAAACATGAAAATGGAGACATTACACCAGATGCCTCAGAAGTAAAGTTATTATGAAGGCCTATTATAAATATGTGCAACAGGCCGGGCTTGGTGGCTCACGCCTGTAATCCCAGTACTGGGAGGCCCAGGCGGGTGGATCATGAGGTCAGGAGATCGAGACCGTCCTGGCTAACACAGTGAAACCCCGTCTCTACTAAAAGATATGAAAGATTAACCGGACGTGGTGGCGGGCGCCTGTAGTCCCAGCTCCTTGGGAGGCTGAGGCGGGAGAATGGCCTGAACCCGGGAGGTGGAGCTTGCAGTGAGCCGAGTTCATGCCACTCCAGCCTGGGGACAGAGCGAGACTCTGTCTCAAAATAAATAAATAAATAAATGCAACAAATTGGATAATCTAGAAAAAAATGATAAATTCCTAGAAAAATATAACCTACGAAGATTGAGTTAGGAAGTAGTAGAAAACTTGAACCAATCCTTAACAAATCAGTTGAAGAAGTCATTAAAACCCTTCCAACCAGAATAGCCCAGGACCAGAAGGTTTCATGGCCAAATTATACCACATGTTCAAAAAAGAATTGTTATCGATACTACTTAAACTCTGTCAAAAAATAGAAATAGAGAAGATACTTCCAAACATTTTATGGCATCAGAATCCCCTTCATATCCAAGGCAGACAAAGACACTGTAAGAAAAAATAGCTATAGGACAATATTTCTAACGAATATTTGTACAAAATTCTTTAATAAAATATTAACAAACAACTAAACCACACATCAAAAAGAACGTACATCATGAGCAAGTGAGGTTTAACCCTGGCATGCAAGACTGGTTTATCATATACAAACCAATGTGACACATGAATTATCAGAATGAAAGATTAAAAACCACATGTTCCTTTCAAATGATGCAGGAAAAGAAGTTAACAAAGTTCTGCATCTTTCCCAATAAAGACTTTCAGGTATAGGAGTAAAGTTTCTCAAAATAATAAAAGTCATTTATAAAAAACACACACAGGTAATATATCAGTGGAGAATGACTGAAAGTTTTTCCAGTAAGATCTGGTATAAGGTGAGGATTCTCACGCTAATCACTTCTATTAAACATTGTACTTGAAATATTAGCAAGAGCAATTAAATAAGTGAAACAAATAAAGGACATCTAAATCAGAGGTAAAACTATCCCTATTTGCAGATGATATGATCCTATATGTTGAATATGCTTAAAGATGCTTAAAAAACACTGTTGGAGTAAATCAGAAAACTTGCAGGACACCAAATCAGCAGAGAAACAAAAGTAACATTTCTATAGACAAATAATCACCTAGCTAAAAAAGGAATCAAGAAAACAACCCCATTTATAATAGCACACACAAAAGCAAAAGAATACATTTAACCAAGAAGGTAAAAGATTTGTACAAGGAAAACTACAAAATACAGATGAAAGAAATTGAAGACACAAATAAATGGAATGATATAGCTTATTTATTGATGGGATTAATATTTTTTAAATGTCCATACTACACAGGGCAACACATGGATTCAACACTATCTGTACCAAAAGTTTAATGGCGTTTTTTACAGAAATAGAAACAAAAATTCTAAAATTTTTATGGAACCTCACGTATACATACAGACAGACGCACACACACAAACTGAACAGCTAAAGAAATACTGAGAAAGATAAAGTTGGGGACATCATACTTCCTGATTTAAACTTATGTTACAAAGGTGTAATAAACAGAATTATACTGGTAACAAACAGAAACATGGACTAATGGAAGACAATAGAAAGCACAGAAATAAATGCAACATATATGGTCAACTAAATTTTGAGCAGGGCACCAAGCAGACACAAAGGGGAAAATATAGTCTCCAATAAACAGTGCTGGGAAAACTGTATTTCTACCTGCAAAAGAATGAAAATGAACTCATCTCACACTATACATGTGAGATACACCACAAAAATCAACTCAAAATGAATAAAACACCTAAATGTAAGACCTGAAGCCATAAAACTCCTAGAGGAAAACATAAGGGAAAATCTCTTCAACATTGGCCTTGGCAGTGATTTTTTGGATATCATACTAATAGTTCAGATTACAAAAGCAAAATATATAAATGGGATTACATCAAATTAAAATGTTTCTTCACAGCAAAGGAAACAATCAACAAAATAAATACGCAGCCTCCAGACTGGGAAAAATATTTGCAAATTACATATCTGATAAGGGATTAATACTCCAAATTTGTAAAGAACTCTTATAACTCAATACCAAAAAAAACATGAATAACCCTATTAAAAAATGGGGAAAGGACCCGACCAGAAATTTCTCTAAAGGAAACAAAAGTAGCCAATAGGCATATTAAAAATTGCTCAACATCACTAATCATCAGGGAAATACAAATGAAACCACTATGAGGTATCATCTCATATCCATAAGAATAGCTGTTATAAAAAAGAAACAAAAAATGCTGGTGAGAGTGTGGAGAAAATAGTGAACCCTAGTTCGCTATTTGTAAGAGTGCAGAATGGTGCAATCATTATGAAAAACAGTACGGAGTTTCCTAAAGAAATTAAAAATAGAACTACCATGTGACCCAGCAATCTCTCTTATGGGTATAAAACAAAAAATGAAAATCACCACTTTGTAAAGATAGCTGCACTCCCATGTTCATTGCAACAGTATTCACAATAGCCAAGATATGGAAACAACTTGTGTCCATTGACTGATGAGTGGATTTAAAAATGTGTGTGTGTGTATATATATATATTTATATATATATGTATGTATTTGTGTGTGTGTGTGTGTGTAATATTATTCAACCTTAAAACGATGGAGATGTTAACATTTGCCACCACACGGGTGGACAGAGAGGATTTCATGCTAAGATAAATAAGCTGGAGATAGAAACAAAAATATTGCATGATTTCCCTTACATGTGGAACATATATTTTTAAAAAGATCTCAGATACACAGAGAACAAAACAGTGGTCGCCACCAACAGGGGTGGTGGGCGGTGAGAGGAAATGGGAAGATGTAGGTCAAAGTATACAAATTAGCAAACATGTAGAATGAGCAAGTTTAGAGATCTAATGTATAAGATGAGGACTACAGTTAATAAAATTGTATTACGGACTTTTATAAAGTAGATTTTAGCAGCTCTTGTCACACCAATAATCAACAATATGAGATACTGTATAACAATCTATAACATCAAAAACAAAGAATAAAAGGACAAGCTTTCTGACATCGCTTCAAATCTTGCTTTCTCCAACTTGGCAATAACAGCTAATATTGCTAATGATTGACATTATACTGCTATTACCATTCTCTGTGCCTTCCTTCTCCTCCTCCTCTTTTTCCCTCCTTGCCAACATAATCACTTTCCTGTTATGCGCATGAAGAAATCTTTCAAGAATAGGAGTTAATTGGTTAGAAATTCTACCAATCCTACCTCAACCTTTTTACCTTGTGAAAGTTACCATATACAGCCTAAATAACTTGCAGTCAAAATGAACATTGAGTCTTAACACTGGAATAAGATCTCACTTTTATATTGCTGCCAATAAGAACATAGACAAAATAATATCTTAGATCATATAGTACATAAAGAATGCTGCCTTTCTGCTTATATCTTTTTTTTTTTTTTTTTTTTTTTGAGACGGAGTCTGGCTCTGTCGCCCAGGCTGGAGTGCAGTGACCGGATCTCAGCTCACTGCAAGCTCCGCCTCCCGGGTTCACACCGTTTTCCTGCCTCAGCCTCCCGAGTAGCTGGGACTACAGGCGCCCGCCACGTCGCCCGGCTAGTTTTTTTGTACTTTTTTTTAGTAGAGACAGGGTTTCAACGTGTTAGCCAGGATGGTCTCGATCTCCTGACCTCGTGATCCACCCATCTCGGCCTCCCAAAGTGCTGGGATTACAGGCTTTCTGCTTATATCTTAAAAGTATGATATTAAGTTAGAATATGTTGACTCATGTGTTTCTTCATAAGGCATATCATCCTATATGCTGACAGAACTGATACAAGTGGTAGAAATTATTTGGTCTTTATTATACATGCACTGTACATTTTTCTATGCTTCTCTATCAAGCAGTTACGATATAGCAAGACCCATGTTCCCTAAGCGAGCTTTACTGAGGTGTACTATAGTCTGGGCATAAGGCAGAAAACTCTTTGATAGGGTAAACCACCATTGTATTCTCTAAGATGTGAAACTTTGAGATCTTAAGTAAGAACAGGTTTAAAAAAGAAATACTAGAATAAAAGAGAGTTTTAAAAAAGTGGAATAAAACTGGAATAAAAGAAAGTAAATCCTGCCAGAGCCACCGCAGCCAACGACATGTTCAAAGTAATTCAGAGGTCCATGAGGCCAACCAGCCTACACTTGTTCACCTTCAAAGTCTATGCAGCACCAAAAAAGGACTCATCTCCCCAAAATCCCGTGAAGGTTGATGAGCTTTCACTGTACTCAGTTCCTGAGGGTCAATCGAAGTGTGTAGAAGAGTCAAGGAGCCAGCTTGAAGAAGGCATCTTACAGTTCCAACGCTATTGTGAGACATACACAAATTTGTGTCAGGAAACATACTCCCAAACTAAGCCTAAGATGCAAAGTTTGGTTCAGTGGGGGTTAGACAGCTATGAATATCTCCAAAATGCACCTCCTGGATTTTTTCCAAGACTTGGTGTTACTGGTTTTGCTGGCCTTATTGGACTCTTTTTGGCTAGAGGTTCAAAAATAAAGAAGCTAGTGTGTCCACCTGGTTTCACAGGATTAGCTGCCTTTATCTGTTATCCACAACACGCCATCGTGTTTGGCAAGGTCAGTGGGGAGAGGTTATATGACTGGGGTTTATGTGGATATATAGTAACAGAAGATTTGTGGAAGGAGAACTTTTAAAAGCCAGGAAATGTGAAGAATTCACCTGGAACTAAGTAGAAAACTCCATGCTCTACCCATTTTAATCAGTTAAAGATAAACACTGGAAACTCCATACAATAAATCACTATTTCTACAGAAAAATGGAGGATAAGTCAGTATTGAATGTATTAAAATGGTTTTCTTCTTCAGGAAAAAATATGTATATAATTAAAACCCAAGTGAAAGAAAGAAAGAAAGTAAATGCTAGTTTTGTCTGCAAATATAGTTGAAGTCATATACTTATATTGTTGAGGAATGGTGTTTCTTTTAAGCTAAAATACAAGTGAAAAGCCTCAACTTTTCCAATAAAATTTTTGCATTCCCACTTGTTCATCTGATCCAGACATTGACTTTATACCACTCCACAGGATATCTATTCTCTAGGATTTTGGTTGAGAATACAATGTTAATCTATTAGAAGACCAGTTTCTATAAAATGAGGAATAATATCTAAAGTGTCTGGCACAAATTAGTTAATAGTATTAGTAATATAAACAAAACAGCAATAATGACAAGAGTCAATATTACTCTGGATCACTATGTACCAGAGATATTTCAAGTGTTTTATCTATATTAACTATTTTTTTCCACACACACAACACAATATGAGGTTGGCCTATTATTGTATGAGTAGGCATAGTCATATCTATCAACATTCTTTTTTTTTTTTTTTTTTTTTTAAGACAAGGTCTCCATCTGTTGCCCAGGCTGGGATACAGTGGCATGATTATGACTCACTGCAGCCTTGATCTCGTGGGCTGAAGTGATTCTCCGGCCACAGCCTCCCACGTAGCTGGGACCACAGGCATATACCACCATACCCAGCTGACTTTTAAACATTTTTTTCTAGAAACAAGGGCTCATGTTTTTGCCCATGATGGTCTCAAACTCCTGGGCTCAAACCTGCCTCCCGCCTCCCCCTCCCAAAGTGCTGGAATTATACATGTAAGCCATTGCGTCTTGCCTCTTTGAACACTCTAGTCTAGTTTTCTGTCACTTGTTGCCTGAATTCTTGCAAGAACATTCTTACAAAAGTTCCCTTTAGAGTGATTCCCCTTTCTATAGTCCTGCCCCTCTACAATCAACCCAGTTACTAAACCTTGAGATTTTTTTGAAAAAGGAAATCTGATAATATCCCTTTTTTGTTTAACTCTTTTTCACTGTCTTCCACATGCCCTTAACATATGTTCAAACTCCTATAATTATCTGGCTCTATAGTACCTCACCAGCATCATCTGCTTTGTTACGCAGCCTCTTCCTACAGAACTAAACTTAGGGTCTCTGGGAACTGTCCTTACTTTCTACCTGCTTTTCTTTATGTTTCTTCCTCTCCCTCTCATCCCTTCACCTTGTTTAGGGCTCACGTTAATTATTAATGACTCAGAGATACTTTCTGTACTCCTCTAAATGCTTCGTTAGCATTGTAGTCTTTCCTTAAGATGACACTTTTCATGCAGTTTTTATTACTTGCTTATATTTTATCTTTCACAGTAGAAGATAAGATGTATAGGGTGCAGAAGCCATGTCTACTTTGTTTCTTTGCAAATCTGGCACTTCTGATATATTTTAGTCACTATATTCTTTAAATGAATAATTGATTCTTACGTGTTGAATAATAAGACCTTAAGTTAACTGACTGTATTCTCAAAGTCTCCCAGGTATCTCAGGTTATTCTGTAATGGTAATGCAATTCGCATACTTATGATGGTACTGAAAACAAATATACCAGTTTCTAATTGGCAGGTCACTTTCCCCACTTTCCATATGTGTCTCACTATGAGACAGACACTCTGAACGAAGAATACAGTCATTCCCCCTGAAAATGCAAACCAAACAGAATAAAACAACTAGGAATAGGTTTACCTTAGACAGGGCTTTGACAGGTTTGCAGTAGGGTCCTACAACAAATTCAAAATTAGGTAAGAGTGGGCGAGGAAATTCCAAACAGCAATAGTTTTGAATGAGCCACATTTCAGCTTTTCCCATGATCTCAGATAACTGTAGTGCATTTTCCTGAAGCGGGGCAGGGGGAAGGCAAAAGAAATAAAATTGTCACGTGAATATGCCAGGTAATTTTCTAAAATCATTTGAAATAATGTAGCCAAAATTGTTTATGTCTTGCTAAAGCAAATATAAATGTGCATATTATACATAATTTATATATTTTATAGATGTTGTTCATACATATGTAAATAAAGTGGGTAGACTCTAATGTCACATTAGTATATACATAATCATGAATGATTATTAACACAAGTCACTGTAGAATTAGACATAGATTTGTTTTCTCTCTAAAATACAAAAGTAATCATTATAAATTTAAAAACTCTTTGTACTCCACCATCACTTAATCCTACCATAGCCATAGCCATGTTTTTCAAGAGTATTCAGTCTAGTTTCTACAATTTAGGAAGCGACATGCAAATGCCATTGGTCCCCGTGGAGATATTTTTAATAGCTCAGCCAGCAGCTCTCCACGGGAACCAATGGTATTTGCATGAACAACATCAGATCTTGATTATTGTAGGTTTGTCATAATTTTCTTTTTCAAAACTACATCTTTGAAGAACTTCTCAGTGTAACCAGAATATTCCCAAAGAAGTTCTTGCATTAGTTAAAAATATGTTCAAAATATATGTTTTGGAAGTCATGTAGCCATTTAGTAATCTGTTGTGTGCGGAAAACCCTGCAAAATAATCTTTAATTACAGGTATAGAATTAACCTCAAATTTAGTAACGGATGTTATGTTGGGATAAACAAGAATAGAAGCTGACAATGTTAGAACAGTCACCTCATGACCTCTCTGCATAAGTTTATCCAGGATTGTCTTTATATTGATCCAATGACTATATTCTGTGGGCCACACCAGCACATTTCCACAACTCCCAGAGCTAGAGTAATAGCTCAGCTGTATCAGTAGAAGAGCTGAAGTCCATTTCATAGCCATCTTGATAAAATACAATGCCTTTTTTTAAATTGTTGTTCCCTCTGCCATTCTTACGTTTTGTTTTTATGCAAGGATAAATCAATCCGGAAGTTAAAATATAATTCTTATCCCTTGAAGTAAATACATTATATAAATAGTGTGAACATGTCAATGGCAAATAGAAAAACAAAATGTAGATGACCCTGTGTTTACACAAATGTATTTAATGTCTCCTTTATGTTTTTAAGTGCTTTCATCCAGCTAAGATCAATGATTCTGCATGAACATGTCATCGCATTTATGTAATATATTTTAGAATACTACCAAAAGTAGTGGCAATAGAGAGGCTCTTTTGTCTTCTATCTCCTTGACACAGAACTAGAGATAAAATAATTATATGGATGAATCAGCATTTTTTAGAGTATTTTTATAAATACACTTTAGTCATGATTTGTTGACATATAATTCACATGCTATGCAATTCACCAAAATCTAATATATGTATATTAGTCTGTTCTCATGCTGCTGGTAGAGACATATCCAAGACTGGGTAGTTTATAAAGGAAAGAGGTTTAATTGACTCAGTTCCACATGGCTGAGGAGGCCTCACAACCATGGCGACAGGCAAGACAGAGAGCTTGTGCAGGGGAACTCCCATTTAGAAAACCATCATATCTCATGTGACTTATTCACTACCACAAGAACAGTATGGAGGAAACGATCCCCATGATTCCATTAACTCCACCTGGCCCCACCCTTGAAACGTGAGGATTATTACAATTCAAGGTGAGATTTGGGTGGAGACATAGCCAAACCATATCAGTGTACAATTGAATGTTTCGTTGTATATTAACAGACTTGTAAAATCAGAAAATAATTTTAGAACAGGTTCATCTCCCAAAAAGAAATACTTTACCATTCGCTGTCAACCCCCACCCTGTGCAATTTCTGCATCTCTAGAGTCCTAGGCAACCACACACTAATCTACTATCTGTCTCTATTTGTTTTCCTTTTCTGGATATTTCACACTAATGAAATCATACAATATGTGGTCTTTTGTGGTTGGCTTTCACTTTTCATAATATTTTAAAGACTCATTCATGTTATTTAAAGTACCAATATTTCATTCATGTTTATTTCCAAATAATGTTGTGTAGTATGGATATATCACATTTTGTTTATTATTCATCAGTTAATGGACATTTGAGTTTTTTCCAATTTTTGGCTATCATGAATAATGTTATTTATTAATGTTCATGTACGAGTTTTGTGTAGACATATTTTCATTTCTCTTGGGTATATACCTAGAGATGGAATTGCTGGGTCACATATTAGCTTTATGTTTAACTTTTGAAGAATTACTAGACTGTTTTCCAAAGTGGTCATACCATTTTCCAGTCTCATTAGCAATGTATGAGGATTCCAATTCCTCCACATCCTTGACAACACGTGTTATTAATTGTCAAAACAAACAATATTTGTTTACTAGGCTCTTTCCCTATTGAACTGTTTTGGCACTGTTGTCGAATATCAGTTGACCATTAACATATGGTATATTTCAGGATTCTAAAACCTATTCCATCAATCTATACATCTATCTGTAGGCCTATGCCACATTTTCTTTATTACTGTAGATTTGCAGTTGACTTCAAAATCAGGACATATAAGTCCCCAACTTTGTTCTTTTTAAGACCGTTTTGTTATTTCTAGGCCCCTTAAATATCTAATATAAATTTTAGGATCATCTTGTCAATTTATGCTATGAAATCAGTTGTGGTTTTTGTAAGAATTGCATTGAATTTATATATCATTTGCAGTATTGTCATTAATAAAATATTAACTGTTTCAGTTCAGGAAACACTTAAGATGTGTTTCCAATTAGATGTGTCACAAACAAATGGAAAAACATTCCATGATCATGGATAGGAAAAAGTAATATTGTTGAAATGGTCGGTCATATTGCCCAAAGCAATTTACAGATTCAATGCTATTCCTGTCAAAGTACCAATGACATTTTTCACAGAATTAGAAAAAAAATTCTAATATTCATTTGGAACAACAACAAAAAAAGCCCAAATAGAAATAAAGCTGCACACCTAAAACTATCTAA